TTTTTTTTTTTTTTCAAAAGGAATTTTTTACCCCAGGCCAGAAGCCTTTGTGTCAGGGAGACTGTCTCGTTTCCCTGCTCAAAGGCTGTCAGAGATGACTGAGATGTGAGAGCAGTTTCTGATGCTGACGGAGGTCAAGGCAGGCAGCACCGCGAACCATCAGTCACCGTGTCAACCAGGAGCCCCGCAGTGAAACCTGGAAGGCTATTTTCTCTGGAGGAACCCGGGGAGAAGGGGGAGGTGCCGAAGGGAGAAAAGAAGGAAAGGCATAGGTCAAATGGTCACCCCAAAGTTTACCGCATTAGTATTCAGCTGGAATCAGAGAAACTTTCTTAATCCCAGCTGGGAATATTCTGAAGAAAGAAGTAGACTAGAGGCAAAAATCATATTAATATTACTGGGCTTAATCGATACATAAAACCTTCCTACGTGCTTTTGCAAGGCTGCTCCATGAAGTTAGGACCTGGAGAGATTCTGATTCCATCGGATTGTGTTTGCAAACAAAGCAAGTCGGGTGCATCCAACTCAGACCTTGGGAGTGCAGTTCCGGCAACGTGTTCCTGGCCTTACAGATTTGCTGGCTTTGCATAAAGTTGGTCAGGCTACAGCCCAGTCACCCTTCTTTTCAAAATCAGGTGCTGGCTCAGTGGAAGCAAGTCTCAAGGGACAGGGCGACCCTCTGCTCTGGGAAGGATGGACCAGTGGAAGCCACTATGTGTCATTTCTATAGGTCAACCCCCTAAGCTAGGTCAGCCCAGGGCCAGAAGGTCGGAAGCCTTAAAGCTGTGAGTGGATCCTGAAATCTTAAATGGCAGTGTAAGAGTTTCCCAGATTTCAGTGCCTGTCTGGGATCAAATGAAAGGAATATCTCTAACTCAGTGACTTGGCCAGATATCTGAATATCCTTTCTGAAACTTCAAAAGCTATGCCAGTCAACAGGCCATATAAAGTCTACATAGACAAATAGAGGAAAGATATGATCTTTCTGTTAGAAATATATGGGAACATTTCCCAGTTTGGAGGATGTGTCTCCTCATGAATTCCACTCATGTAATTCGGCAGTTCTCAATTGGAGGGGTGCATGGTGGTTGCCCCCAGGGGTAGGTTTTGCTACCCGTGGGGTGTGCTACCCGCATCCCTTGGGCAGAAGCTAAACATTCTACAGTCCGCTGGTCACACGCACCCCATTCCAAAACAAAGAATTATATGCCTCAAATGTCAGTAGGGTCAAAGCTGAGACTCTCACTAATTAAAATCAGGGTACCCTCGCTAGACATGAAAATAGCTGCTCAAATCATCTCATTCACCATCCTGAAACATGATCTAGGGCTTACACACTGTTACTTCTCTGCACCCCTTCTTTGTCTTATTTTATCATTTCTCCTGTTCCTCTTTTCTTTTTGCCAAAGTATCAAACTTAAATTTGTGGGTTTTTTTTTTTTTCATTCAGTCATAAGAGTGGAAAGTCCCATGCTCCTGTTTTAATAATAATAAAGGGATCTTTTTTTTTCACCCCCACAAAAGTCATGTTAGACAACTCTGAGTTGGGACAACTGAATTGATCAATGGGGAAATTTGCTAAATGTGACTTTGTCAGACCCTTTGGAATAGGGCTAATCTGGTGTTAAAGAAAACTAACAAGTTTGTGTCTTTGGGGATTCTAATATTTAGATCAGGAACCTGAAAAAAGCCAACTAACTGCTCCCTACTGTCAACCTTTCCATCTCTCTCCACTGTCTTGCATTTTAGGATCCCACATTCTGTGGTACAGGGGACTTTTTAGAGCTCCTGGTAGCCCACATTAGCATTTTTAGAGGTTTGCATGAAATTAAGTCCTCATTCTTGGACTCTCTTTTCAGCATTATTGTTTCTTGTGTTTCATCTGTGTTTTCTCTCCTAGTCCTTCTAAGTGGAAATTCGTTTTCTCTTTGCTTGCCTATTACTCTTATTTCTCTGTCCTCCCTTTGCTTTGTAATGCCTCTGAATTTGGTAACATCTGCAAGTTCATGGCTTGACTCATAGATCCTTCAATGGGAACATAAATAAACATGTAAAACACCTGTAATCCCAGAACTTTGGGAGGCTGAAGCATGAGGATCTCTTGAGGCCAGGAGTTCAAGACTACTCTGAGCAAGAGTGCGACCTCATTTCCACAAATAACAAAAAAAATTTAGCCAGGCATGATGCTAGCATGCCTGTAGTCCCAGCAACTCAGGAGGCTAAGGCAGGGTCGCTTGAGCCCAGGAGTTGGATGCTGCAGTGAGCTATGATCATGCCACTGTACTCCAGCCTAGGCAACAGAGCGAGACTCTGTCTCTTAAAAAAAAAAAAAGTTAACTAGCACTAAATCTAGGTTTGCCTGTTTCCTGTGGTATTCCATCAGTGCCAAAGTGGCATTCCACTTTGCCCATTTGGATACGTTGCCATTCATCTTGACTTGACCTCCAGTTTCTTGGCTAAAGTTCTTAATTACTTAAAGGTTAATAGGGTTTCTGGTAGCAGTTGTCAGCACCTTTAAAATTAACTATATTTCTAAATAATTCCATTGTCTTTTCTTCATAGCTAAAACCTTAGCAGTGGCTCAAACTATGTAATATTCTCTTCCAACACTCCAAGTTAAGTGCAAAGTTGCATCTAGGGTAAGTCTCAAAATACCATACTCTTTTAAAACTTAAATCAATGGTAGGTAAACTTTCACTGCATCTTCTTGATTTTTTGGACATCAGAGAAAGTGACTTTTTGGCTTGTGGTGTCACTAGTCCATCTCCTTTTTTCTACCATGTCATCAAACACCAACTCCAAATCTTCTCTACTCTCCTTTCCTCAGAGAATCCTTCAGCCACATCTGTAGCAGATATACTGCAGCTATCCAGGGTTCTGTGGGGCTGCCCAACCTGATGGAATAAATCAAGGTGTGCTTTGCAGGGAGCCTTTCCACACAGTCTTGCCCTGGATGCAAACTTGTCAGAGATTTCCCCTTTTGGTGTTACAAATCGGTTGTCTCAGAACTAATTTTACAGCAACAGGTTATTTTAAGATGGCAATTATTGCAATGAAGTTCCAAGATCTTTGACAATGCAAGCCTTGAGATGTGACCCACTGATACATTTCTTACAAAATAGAATGATACCCATGTAAACCCTTGCCTATTTTTCTAGATTTCAGATTAAATCATTTATTCTGCCTACTATGGTCCCAACTCTATTCTAGGTGTTAAAGATTGAGTGCTGAACAAGAGAAAAATGTCTTGCTTCCATAGAGCCTAAAATTATAATGGACAGAGATAAACTAACAAGGAAATGATGGTATATTGACAGGAAGGGAGAAGTGCTACTTTAAGAGAAATAAAGAAGTGCAAGGAATAGAGAGTGGTGATGTGAAGGAATAATGTAGCTACTGTAAGTGGGATGATGAGGGAATGCTTCTCTGAAGGGTGGTATCCAAAAGGGATTTGACTGAAAAGAGGAAACCAGTCAGGGGAAGATCTGGGGGCAGCACATTCTAGATGTCAATTTCAGAGGCCAGAGGTGACAATGAATCAGCATGACCAAGTGACAGCAAGAAGGTCAGAGCAACTGGAGCAGAGCAAGAGAGAAAACAAGATCCAACAGATAGACCAAGCCAGATTATGCAGAACTGTGAATGGGTATAAATTAGTTTCTGATGACTATCATAACAAATTACTACAAACTGAGTGGCTTAAAACTACAGATATTTATTCTGTTCACAGGACTGGGGGCTAGAAATCTAAAACGAAGGTGTCAGCAAGGTTGGTTTCCTCTGGAGGCTCCAAGGGGAATCTATACCATGCCTCTCTCCAAGGTCTGGTGGCTGCTGGCAATCCTTGGTATTCCTTGGCTTACAGACACGACGCTTCAATCTCTGCCTTTGTCTTTACATTGCCTCCTTCTCTGAATCTTCCAAATTTTTCTTTGACTTTCTGTTATACGAACACCTCTCATTGGATTCAGAGCTTGCTGTCAATCCAGAATGATCTCATCTTAAAATCCTTAATTACATCTGCAAAGACCCTTTTTCCAAATAATGTCATATTCACATATTCCTGGAAACAGTACATGGACATATTTTTGGCGGGGGGGACCACAATTCAACCCACTCCAGGGAGCCAGTGGAAGATTTAAACAGAGATTCAATATAATCTCATATGTTTTGAAGGATCACTTTGTCTACTGTGTAGGCTGGAGGTGACAAGGGTAAAAGCATGGAGACAGGCAGATGGCACACACTTTACCATGGATTCTACAGCTTTCCATTTGCCCTTTTGGTTTTTAGGTAGCAAGGGTTTGATATGGCCTAATTGCACAATTGAGGTAAAAAGAGAGAAAAAAATATTTTTTTCCCCCCACACAGAAGGGTGATTATTAATGCCCTAATATGGCAGGCAAAATAGTAAATGAGCCAAAGTTTCAGTTAGAAAAGCTCAAGGTTGGCCATCTACGTAGCAAAATATTCATGTAATCACATTGTAAACCACTATGCTCATAATTATCAATAATAATGACTATTTATGAAGTGCTAAGTGCCAAGCACTGATCCACTGATATAATTGCTTTACTCACATTATTTCTCATTGAATTTTTGCAATATTCAGTGTCTTAGTCCAATTCAGGCTGCTGTAACAGAACATCTTGCACTGGGTGTCTCATAAACAACAGACCTTTATTTCTCATAGTTCTGGAGGCTGGGAAGTCCAAGATCAAGGAAGATTTGGTATCTGATGAGGTCTCATTTTCTGGCTTATTAATGTCATCTTCTCATTGTGTCCTCTTATGGTAGAAGAGTGGATCTATCCTCACAACCTAATCACTATATAAAGTCCCTGCCTCCTAATACCACCACCTTGGGGGTTAGGATTTTCACATATGCATATCCAGCAGATAGAAATAGACTATAGTATCTAGTGAGGCAGCTATCATTAATTCTTTTTTGCTTCCAAGGTCTTATAGTTTGAAGCATCTAGAGCTATTATAAGCTACAACTTGGGCTATATCCACTAACCTACATTATAATTATTAATAATTCTTTTATTTTAATTCTAATTTAATATCTGCATTGAATTAAATATTTCAAATACTGGATTTCACCTGAGTCTAGATTCAGCTCACAATCCAGTCCGCACACTTAATAATCACACAGATGCTACCATTTACCACGAGTGCACTAAGAGAACTGAGATGAAAGTACACTCTGCTTCCCAATAGTCTATTCTATTTCAGAGGTAAGAGATCCTCTCCAACATGGGAGGTGCCAGGTGTGCCACACATGCCTCTTGCCATAAAGCAAATAATTTCAAAGTGTTAGGTTATAGATAGTACCTTAGAGAGGAGCCCTCTCATTTTACAAATAAGGGAAACAAAGCCCAGGACTGACCCTAGAACACATCCTTCCTGAATCCTAGTGTGGCTCTCTTTTAACATTACCTCTCCTTTGGTGGAAATGGGTTAATGGAGATTTGCTATTACATTTTTTATTTTATAAATATTTAGAATATCAAATTTAGTAACACTTGGTAAACCAATGATCATTGGTGGCTGCTAATATTTCCCCCAAATGATGCAATGATGCAACCAGACTAGGTATCTCCTGATGGAAATACAGCCACGAAGTAGTGCTGCTTCCTACTCCACCACCTTCCAAAAACTAACATCTAAAATGATCAACTTTCTAGATCTAACTATCAATTTATAGGAAACAAAAGGTATGTTCAACAGTACTGTGGGAATGCAATCAGCTAACTCCAAATGGTGAGATGCTTGAAGAACAATCGAATAAAGTTATTTAAAAAAATAAAAAATAAAGGAGGAACTTAAAAAAAAGACTAAAGAGATAAACCAACCATTGATAATGTGTAGAAAGCATTCAGACTGTCAAAGAGATATATAATTACATATTTATAGTAAATACAGGAGACAGAGAATATATTCAATAAGACCATGACTAAATATCGTTGAAAATAAGAAATTATTTTAGGTATGACAATAGCATTATTGTTATATTTTTAGTCCTTACCTTTTAGAAATATATATGGTGTATACAGAGTGTCACGATTTTGCTTCAAAATAATCCGAGGAGTAGGGTGTTCCTGAAACGAGACCAGACATGAGTTGATAACTGTCAAAATGGGTAAAGGGTACATAAGGATCATGATGCATGTTGAAAATTTCCAACATTAAAGTTAAGAAACCAACTTAAGAAGTTCAAAAAATATATAAAAGACAAAAGCTATACATTCTCATTGTAAAAATTTGTAAAGCACAGAAAAGTATTAAAATCATTTCACAAAACTACCCATAATGCTGCCCAGTTCGGATTTCCAGTTGGATGGAGAACCAAGCGCTCTGGTGGCTGGCTGGCTGCCTGCTTTGGGGGACTGTGTTCTAATCTGGTGGCAAATATTTCTCACCAAATACAACCAAGAGCTTCCGTGAAGATTGAAGAAGCTGTTCTTTGAAAATATTTTCTTCCTTAAGTCTCCGCATGTTCCTATCTCTCTCCAGCTCAAAGAGAAGTGCTATTCAGAATAGATCCTTCTTGTGTATATTCAATGAGCAGCTGCACAGGCTCAAATCTGAGTCCAGGTTTTCAAACCAAATGTTTCCTCGCACTATGGGATCCCACATAAACGCCTGGATTGTTCTGACTTAACTGGGATCTTTGTTCCCTCCTCCCATTTGTTACACTCACACTATAATTAAATATTTCTTTTTGCAACTTGGAATTTACCCTCTTTGGGAGAAGAGGTGATCCAAGTCACAAATTGACTTTCCATTTAGGGGTGTTATCCCAAATGGGCTGGGAACATCAGCTGCAGGGAAGGGCAAGCTCTGATGTGCTGCTGAGAGTGAGGTATCTTTCCCCAGTTAAACGCTGTCATAATGAACTCACAAATACAGCCGGATACCTTCCTGCGTCTTTTCTGGCTGCGCCTCTACCGCAAACAGCTGCGGCACTTGTCACCGGCACCATTAAGACAATCTCCCCATTCTAACAGGATTTTACTCTTGAGTAAAATAATTTTTCTCAGCATGGCTTTAGGTTTTTTTTCTATATCAGCAATCAGTTTTCATTGAAAGGTGGATCCCCCCCCATTCTGAAGTGATTTATAGTAGGCATTTAAAGACAAACACGGACATTTTTTTATTATTACTATTATTATTTTTTTCCTTAAGCGAGTAAGCAGAGAGAATGCAACAACAACTTGGAGTAGATTTACAGTTAGTTCTTCCACCCTTCCTCTTGCCTGGAGCCTGATGGGACTGGCTGTCCTTGGAGGAATGAGAGAGGGAAATGCTAGGGGCCGATTGCTGATTTTATCATTCAAACACAAAATTTGTTACACCACTTTATCGGTCACAGGGAAAGCAATTATATTGTGGTTCAATTTTCCACTCAATGGCTGTACTGGGGATCAAAGTCAGTTTTTATGATGGGAAAAAATGTTTTGCTATTTTTATTTGTTACTTAAAATAAGAAGCACCGTTAGTATAATGCTTTCCGAGGTTTCCTACTCCTTCATGAGATACAGTGGATTAGTTTGGCTTTCTCCTTCCCTTTGATTAAATAATCAGCTTTCTTCCTGTCCTCTAAAGCGCATTTCACTGTAGAAATGAATTGGCACGGTTAAAGGCAACATAGCATTAAGACTCTAATCACAGCCACGAAGGGCAAAACCCACTCCACGCTATTTATTCTTTTCTAGACTGGTACCATTTTTAAAAAAGCAGGCATGGTAATGGTTTCTGTTGGTGTGCATGTTGTTGTGTGCTGCGTGCACCTATGTACTCTCACTCATCCTCACATGTGAAAAATCAGCAACCTTCAAGCTGTATTCATGAGTCCTTTTCACTATGGAAAATAAAATTAAGTGGGATTGGGTGTGGAGGAAGATTGGTATGGAATCATAAGTAAAAATCATACATTTTAATTCAAAAATAAAATAGACTAGCTTCTTTTCAGTTTAATACATCTCTTTTTCTCTTACTATCTCTCTTTCATTGAGAAATTAAAGTAAAATTTAACATATCAAAACCGAGACAAATTTTATTATTATTTTAGTGATCAAACTTCAGGACTAATTGATTCCTAGCCCTATTTATTCAAATTTACTGTTTTTATACCAAAAAATTTCTACGGATGAGAATGTTTTTTTTCATAGTTCTATGGGGTGTTCTCGTAATAGGACTGAATAGCTAAGTGAAAACATATATTTTTATTGCACATGTATTTATAATTGTTGAGAAAAGAGAGACAAGTGACAGCTATTCCTCTCTTTCAAAATATATCAGGTTTAACCTCCTGTTTCTACTTGGTTTCGCTTTTACAATTTGATTGCGATCATCTTCATTTTTTTTTTTTCTGGTCTCCTGCTAATTGCCTCCAGGCTCAAAGAGTCTTACAACATATCCTCTGAATCGAGGAGCAGAGAATTCTGGAATCTGCTGTAGGTGACTAATTATGGCAGTAGCTGAGTGATGGTCTAGCTACCACGGGACACTTCTGTCGTCACAGTGGTGCTTCTGGCGATGGTGGGAGAGAAGCGTGTGAGGCCCCAGAAAAGTCTGTGCAGGAGCCACGCAATGCGCGCCGGGCGGCGGGGAGAAGCAGCCCGGCTGGCTAGTGTCTGCCTCCCTCACCCGTTTCTGCCAGCCTTGGTGCTTGTGTCTGGGTTTTCCATATGGATTGAGAGTGACTGCTAACGCTGAGAATAGGAGAAGCATTCCTCCCAGCAGTTTCCCTGTCGGTTTTCCCTCTCCTATGAGTTGAAAGTGCTTTGTATATGATGTCAGTGGATTTTCTGGCTTTGCGTAAAGGCCAGGGCCATAAAAGCGCAAAGGGCCTTTCTATGGGCCATAGAAAAAGGCAAATATTGTACACCTGAGAAAGGTATTTCTGATAACGACAGCTACTGTTTATTGAGCACTCACTATGTGCTAGCTCTGGCATACACGTTATACGTTATATCCTTTGGAGCAATCCTGCAAGTCTCAAATGCTGCCTCATTTTTTAAGATAGAAAGCTTAGACCTAAAACCTGTTTAACATTCTTGAAACTATTCCTCAAACTGTCCTAGAATTTTTGTTATATATGCTAAAGAGTCAGTCCAAAGATAACAGCCTCATCTATCTTAAACATATCTCCAAAAGCTTTAATTTCACTTTTTTTACTGTTAATACAGTTTAAATGTTCCGTTAATCTATAAAACTTTAATTAAACAGTTTGGAAATGTTCGTTTATTTTTGGCAGAACAGGACTAATCGTAAACTCTACACTTTCCATAGAATCCTTACTGCTTAAAAAGGTGCTCTGAGCCTGTGACGGGTGATACATCACTTTAGAGCCGGCATGGAAATTTTTGGGGCTTGGAACAACATTTGCTTATTATTTGTGGAATAGACCCACCGGCTGAAACTTACCAGTTTCTACATCATCAAACAAAATGCTTTGCTTCAATTTTGTGCAGGACATAGCGACTAAGTATCTGCACCATTAAAGATATTAATCTTGATTTAGATTGCAAATGTTACGAAGTACTAGACCAACTGTTTTTTCCGTTCTCATTATGTTCGAATGAACTTAACCTGAGTCCTGTCATCTAGTGTGACCTAACCTAGTCACGGGATAATGGATCTTAGTACAAATGGTCAGCCGTCACGCCAGAGGCAAAACCAACTGACTTTGGCAGGACAGGTCTTGCAAAAGTACATCTCGGAGTGGAATCAAGTGTCTAACTATTACGGCCTGCACTGTCAAAACACAGATCGCAATCAATGTAAGCTGGAGAATGTGCACATAGATCCCAAGTATGTGCCCACTGTTCCCAATGGGTTATTTCTACTTGGTTTCATGACCAAACTCTTTCACATTTAAGCGAATATAAGGTTGTGAATGAGACTCTCTCTTGTGCTATGATGCAATTTAAATACAATTTTAAAACTTCTTTTGATTTGTGAATGAATTAAGAAGATCTATTCTGACAAATGGTGTTTCCATTTAAGATAATTCACAATTGCGCATATTCAAGGTCACTAAATTCCACTTCTAATAAAAGTACAAAACTCAAAACCGTCTAAACAATTTAAATTAGTTCCCTCCCCCCCCTTTTTAAGAAATCTAAATATGTAGACTATCCAAAATTTTATAAAGTAGACTGAGGGACTGGGTAATGCATCCTGATTTGTTCTGGAATTTTCGTTACTTTACACCTATAAGATCAATGAAATTCTTCAAATTCCAATTTCTGTGCATCTTTTTTTGGGACTTACTACATTTGCATTTGTTTGTTTACTCTTTTTTCTGTTTCTCCATCTCTTTCCACAGTAATGTCCTTCTTGGCACACGGCACGCACTCCTGACTTTTCTATAAGCTCTTTCTTACATCAGTGTTGCACATATAAGAACTCACATATTAAGATGCAATTGTCCAGTAATTAAACTAAATAAATCTTATTTGAAATTTTTTTAAATATGTGCCTCACCCTCTATAATATCAATAGCTTAGTACTATAACGCATAAATACGGACTATCTTTTTCTTAATTCTACACCCTCGTAAAGGGCATGTAGACTGTTGAAATTACTGTAAAAACTTCTCTGAAAAGTATTTTTAGTTATTATAGAAAACACACAGAATAGCTTTTCCATGAAGAAATGCTATGGGACTAGATTCCTGCCCTCTGAGAAAATTCCCTTAGAATTACAGAAAGAATGAACTGAGCCACACACTTCTTCAGTTTTCAGAGCAAATACTTTTTCTGTCCTTTTTCCTTCAGCAGCTCAACTAAGTAAATGAAAATAAATAAATAAATAAATAAATAAATAAATAAATAAATAAATAATAAATAAAAGCTTTCTATCCCCAGTGCTTTAGTAGTCCTACAATCACAAATTTCTATTTACAAGCACTGGATTTCAAATAGCATCATCTGTAAATAAGGCTGCCATTTCGAGCTTAAAAGCATAGCTGATGAGAGACATGATGATTGCTTAAAATATCCTAAGGACATGAAAACTAAAGTGGAGAAAGAATTATTTAGGCATAACTAAAGCATAACTAAAGGGAGATATAACTGGATGGAGAAATACTGTTAAGTTAAAAAAAAAAAAAGGAAGAAGAAGAATTTCAAGGAAAGAAGCAGTACATTAAAACCCCTCAAACTTTCTTAACAGTCTATTGGGCTGTGGAATTGGCTCTGATGGAAAGTGTGTAGGCAAAAAAAAAAAAAAAAAAAGCCAGGAGTGCTTACAACTAGACAAAAAACTACCAAGGACGAAACAAAGATGAGGACAACTTCAGATGGGCAAGAGGTGTTTAAAAGTGATGAAATAAAGTCTCTTTTATTTTTAAGTCCCATGATTTCAAAAAATGAAAAGCTATTGTTTCTCCTAATTTGATTTTACAATAAAATATGCTAAGCAGAACACCTATGAATAATTTCTAAAAGCGCTTTAAGTAAAATCCTACTTTTCATACATAAAGTTAATGTTTGCTTACATACACACACATCATCTAAAGTTGATACTGTATTTTAATCTTAAAACCTCTGTACTGTTCTAAATAACTGAATAGGTAAAATTCATGCTCTTTAGATTTTCCCCCAAATCTATTTTCCTCCATATAAAAGCCTCCCTAAAGTACCAGAAAAATAAAGATCCATTGCTTTTCCTCCCCATCTATAAAAACCACCAAGATTCTTCAGCCTGACAAATTTAAATGATTTGAAGGCATCTCCCACATGGGAGTCTACAGCACTGGCTCATAGTCAGAGATAAATTTTTCAGTAAACCTTCACCTAGGGTGAGAAAAGGAAATCTCCCTGGCTTATTCACTC